AACATATACGTGAAAATTCTTTTATTATCCCACAATGAAATAACAAACGATTTTGAAAACCTGTTTTATGCACGAGAACGTGCACATTGATGAAAGGGGGAGGGGGAGGGGTAGAATGTCACGGACAGTTTGTGACACTCGCGTTATTTCCGCGACCATTACGACTAGAAAAGGTTATCGTGCTTTAGTGAGGGACGTGAATGATTCAGGTTGAAGAGTCCTTTCAGTGAACAATTCGATCACGCGGAGTTTGTCGGTGACCGGGTATCAGACTTAGGAAAACGGATTAGGCCATCCATGCAAAACATAGTTTTTATCCAGAGCCGATTACCTAATGAACCTAGGGCAGAGAAAACCCCGGTCGAAGCTGGTCCATGGTACGAAGGTTGAGTCGACAACTGTGGAGATGTCGATTGTCGCACGATTTTCGAAGAACATCTTTTGACAAGTGGTATTAGAGTCAAGAGCGTTGTGTATCGTCTCCGTCCAGCTCCCATAACGAGATGGGTACATGGGGGAGCCTTATTTGTTGGAAATAGAAAGTCGAGGGAGAGGTGTCCTGAAGACTAAGACAAGGTGTCGAGTCATTGAATAGAATAGAAGTAGAATTATCCCACAACGACACAACGTACGATCTTGACGATTCTTCCCATGTACAAAGACGAGCATATTGATGGGTGGGGGAGAATGTCACATACCGTTTCATTGGGACGGTTCGTGACAGTCGTGTTGCTTCCGTGGAGCAATTACGACTGGGAAAGGTTGTCGTGCTTTAGTGAGGGGTTTGCAAAAATCATGTTGGAGAGTCCTTTCGGAGTTAAGCAGACTAACTAGATCGCACAAAGTCTTTCACTAACCGAGGATCAAATTTTGAAGAACATGTTAGTTCATCCATGTACAAATTGGTCATGATCTGGAGTCAATCATCTGATTAACCCAAGACATGGCGAAATTAGTCAAAGATGCTCCATGGTACGAAGGCTGAGTCGACAAATGTGGAGATTTTCGATTGCCACATGGTCTTCTAAGAAAAACCTATGACATCCCTATTCCTCTCACATACTTTTAAGTGAAGACTATAAAGTATTATTATATATATAAAACCTTACTAGTTACCACTATAAACCTTAAAATATTTAAGAAAGAACATTTTTGAATATTTACAGCTGAATGGAGTATTATTAACAATGTGTACAACAAAAGGGACAGTTTTTTCTAAATTTAAGTATTTTAAGTGAGATATTAATTTTGAATACATGTTTATTATGTCGGATGAAAATATTCTGGGTGTGGAAATTTATGTAGATGTTGAATTACGATTTCATAAAAAAATATTATATCCTAACAGAAACAAAATTTGGAAAAAAAAATTGTAAACTAGAGTTTAGGAAAGAAAAACTCCTAAACCAAAATGTTTAATATCTATTTATGAATATACCGATTTGAATACCATAATCTTAAAGCTAGCACGAGCGGAGGGTCGTGTTGACTAAGTCTAGACGACAGTCGTATTTACAAGCAAGGGTTCATATTCCAGGTAAAGGGAGCGGTTCGGGCCTCATTGCCATCTGTATTGCTCAACCTACTATTAGGAACTGTGAACCCCGGCGAGCACTATTGACTGCCGTGTTCGACCGTCGTATTGACGGACCACTTATGCTAACCTTAAGAGAACAATACAGAATCGCGACTGTGTTTAGAATAGAAAGAAACAAGGTTTATGAAGAAGTTAGGAAGTCTGGAAAACTTAGAGAGAAGTTAGAGAAACATTTAGAGAGAGAAAGCTATTATGAAATTTTATGATTTCCAAGTTGTGATTTCTTACAAGGGGTACACACTTATTTATAGGAGGTTTTAAGGCGCTGACATAAGCGCTTACCTCAGCGATACATCATCGCTTACATCATTGCTTACATAATCATTACATCAACGATTACATCATCGCTTACATCATTATTTATTTTACATGATTTTAAACATAACATTTTATATTTTATATTTTATAATTTTCATACCGTTTAATGATCCATTTCGAACTCCAGCATATGTTCTTCGCAGCATCCATAATGATCATCCGGACATTCATACGAGTCTTCAATCATTCGTGCATCTTCTCCTGGTTGAACATTTATGTAGAATTTGAACTTCTCTTCGATATCTTCAACATTTACTTCATCATCTGGGGATTGAGCGTCTTTGAAGTAATCGGCACAGTAATCTTGAGAAGTCACCTGGGGAGTTGTTTCTTCTTGTTTATCTTCTTTTGGACTGCTTGGTTTTCCTTTCTTGAACTTCATCATGTGATACTGTAAATCTTCATCCAGTTGCATCTGATAGTCGACCGGATAATAAACCCAGTTGGGTATGAACGGAATGGGGAACGTTTGTCTTGCATTGTTGAGGTGAAACACATGAGTTTGAAAGTTCTCGTATGCTTCGTTGTCCTGAAGGTTGAAATCTGGACGAACTCCTCTTGAAAAATCACCGTGATGAATGAGAGTTGGAAGAGCGAGGATTTTGCTTGTTTTGCGGTTGACCTTAACGGGACGATGAAAGAAGTAGATTGAATGTGGATTGAAGAATGGGTTGAGTCCACCTCTCTTCAGCTTTTTGAATGTTAGATTTGTCGCATTTGCGGATCTTCGTAGTTTTCCACTCCAGACAGTCAATGGTGAAAACCACCTTAGGAACGTTGAGAAGCTGTCTCTTTTGTCTTGAACAGTGTTGACGTAATGGTACAGCCATTGGATGTCGAAAGCAATTCCTACCGTGTAGACGGCACAGAGATACCAGAGGAAACAGAGAACTTCTTCTGGCATGTTTGAATTTTCGATCCTGTAGAGATGTGCAAACGGATAGTTAGGATGAATTCCCATTGGAGCAATGTGGTGACAGTTTACTCCATAGTTCGACAGGATGGTAGATTGATACGAAAAGATCTTTGTGCGTAGTAGTTCATGAAGCTTGTTTCTGCTGATGAGTTGATGAACATCTTCGGGTACGTCTGCTTCAAAGTCATAGTAGCTCTTCTTGGATTCGGAGGAACTGGCCATCATATGTATCTCGTAGGGCGTTTCTTGTTTTACAGGTTTTCGACTTAGCATGTCTGCTAAAGTGTTCTTGGTGCCCTTTAAATAGACTGACTCGAAATCGTACTTTGAGAACCACTCACTCCATCTTAGTAGCTGCTGATGCGGGACCATCTTCTGCTTGAACTGTAACATCTTGGGAAACGAAGACATATCCATTTCTATACGAAATTTGTGTCCTATTAGATGAAATTCAAACCTCTCGATAGCTTTTTTGACCGCTAAAATCTCCTTGAACGTTGAGTGATAATGTTGCTCTGAATCTTTGAAACGACCACTCTTGTATCCACAGATTTGTCTTTTCCCATCCATCTCTTCAAACAGTATTGCTCCCCAATACTTATCGCTAGCGTCTGTCTGTAGAATACGCATGCCTGAGGAGAGAATCTTTAAAGGGGGTAGCTTTTGCACTTCTGCTTTTAGACTTTTGATAGCTTCAGTTTGTCGTGATGCCCACAAAGGAGGGTTTTTCGACAACATCTTCTATAGAGGTCTTGTCATTCTGGAAAGGTGTGGAATGAAGTCTCCCACATAATTGATTACTCCAAGAAATTGTTGAATTTGTCGCCTTGTAAGATTTTCATCGGGAAAATCTAGAAGTTCTGTAGCTAAATGGGCCTGTGGTATGAAACTTCCTTCTTTGATATGCATGCCAAGAAAATCAATGTTGGGTTGGGCTATTATCATCTTTCTAGCTGATAGCATGATTCCGGTTTTCTTGACGATGTCTTGAAACTGTTGTAGCGCCTGAATATGTTGCCAAAATCCTGACTTTAGATCAAACTTCGAAAATATTTTTGCACCTTGGAGATGTTGGAGAAGCGCTCTTTTATTTGGCAGTGGAAACTTGACGTCTTGCAGATATTGGTTCAACGGCTTGTAATCGATAACTAATCTGAGTTTTCCTCTTGCTTGTTCTGCTCGATTATTAACGTAGAACGCTTTGCACGCCCATGGAGAGTTTGTTCTTGAGATGATACCTTGATCCATCAATTGATTGCATTCCTCATTTGCCTTCTGCAACAGTGTTGGAGGCATTCCTGCATGACTTGCTTTTGTTGGTGTTGTGTGTACATCTTCCTTGAATGGTAGGGATACGAAGAAGCTTGAGTTTAACCATAGCGGATGATTACACTTTTGAAGGAACTCTGTGTGTGAATCAGCACATGATGTCATCTTTAATTCTTCTTCAATTTTATTGAATTCCGCAGATACTGAGTCTTCGATTGAGAATAAACGATGCATCGTGGTAAAAGCCTTGTAGAGATTTTTCCATCTCACACCTCTTGGTTCTAAAGAAATACCGAACTTCTTCTTCAGTACCGAATAAGTATCCCACCCAAGGATTAAGTCTTTACCAGGTGCAGATGAACCTAGTACTTCCTTAGTAACTTGACATCCAGGGAAAAGCTCTATCGTGATTGGTTTTGATTTTAGCTTGACCGTCAGGGATCCAGCATTCGCGACTCTGAAATCTTGTTGATGAGGCATCCACATGGCTCGTGAGAGAATCTTTGGATTTATGATTGTTGTATGAGCTCCTGTGTCGAAGAATGCGATTGCATGCACTGGCTTTTCTCTTTTGGAAGGATCAAAGATGGTTACTGGTAGATGTGGTGTCTGAAGTTCATCTTCTTGAGGCATCTGGGTAATCTTGAAACAACAATCGTCTTTTTCATCTTCGGATGAGGATTCTGAAGATTCGTCATAATCAGAATAACTGCATATAGCATCATTCTCGTCACTATCGTAAGATAGTATTGACTCAAGATCATGGTTATCGATATCAAGATCTGGAGCTATCTTGGCTATCGAATGAATAAGATACTGCTTCTTCTTTTTAGACTTGTTTGGGCAGTCTTTTGCAAAATGCCCCGTCTTTCTGCATAGAAAACATCTCGAGGTTTTCTTGAAGCTTTTCTTCTTCCTAAAGAATCGCTTGCGTTTAATCTTGTTGAAATATTTCGACTTCACGAATGATTCCTTGAATCTTCTTCGGTCTTTTCGTCGATCTTCACATGAACATTTTTTCTTTTTCGAACATTTGATGTTCAGATCTGGACGAGCACATATCTTCGAAAGATGCTTTGACTTGTCCATGAATTCTGACCAAAACTCCTTTTGCTTACAAAGCTTGTCAATGGTTCTGAACACCTACTGCTGGATTTGTCCAATCGAGATTTCTTCGATTGTCTGCCCTTGATCTCTGATATACAGCTTTGTTTGTTGACTTAGGTAATCGTCTATGGATGAGAGATACACTTGCTTCAGGCTTGGATTGTTTAGACCATTGAGAGCATAATACCTTCGAGTTTGTCGCTCGAAATGCTTTGCTAAATCTCTCTTCTTCAATGAACAACACTTCGCTGTGTAGAATTCTTCTTGTAGTTGTTCTTTTAAATGATTTGGGGTGCCAACGAATTCTCTATGTATTTCTCCAAGAAGTAGAGGTATCGTTGTCTGATACACCTGCTGCTGCCGATATTCTCCAAGCGAATTCCACCATTCTTTTAATGCGCCTGACATCTCGATGTGAATCGTCGTATCACCACTTCTGTAGGGGAAGTGATTGCTTC